CTCTATGCTGTCTAGTTTCTCAACTTAAGTTGTGGGGGCAACGGGAGGATGGACATTTTGCCTGAGGACACAACAGAATTTCTAATTTGAAAATGTTCATCATTACTGATCCTCTGAGTGTCTAATATAGTACAGCACTTTATGGACAAAACATATTGGGTCTTAAATGAACACTGCAAATGTTAGWTAAAAGCTCACCAACAGAAAGATTTCTTTAATTTATTTCTGATACAAGTACTGCCTAGGATGAGCACCAGTTCCACTGTGACCTTGCACAAAAAGCAGGTAAAGAAATGAATGGCTGGCTGTCATCTGTGACTAAATGCAAGAAGACGGTTAGCAGAACACTAATCGAGGCCAATAACGTCAGTGAGATTCTGAGCCAAATTATGAAGTACCCGGTCATCACTTCTTGTTATGTTTGCAGCTCATGTCTCCATCTTCCCTCTTGACTTTGTTGGAAGTGATGCAACAAACAGCCAACTCCCCAAGTGCCATTGAGCTTTGTTGTTTTATAGCAAAAATTAATTTAGTCACATCCTCTGCTGTCAGTCAGACTGATGGCCAGAGGTGTATAGTATTAGGAACTTAGCACATTTACTTCATTACAGTACTTTTTTTTGAGGATATGTAATTTTAACAAGTATTTTTTAATTGCAAATTTTAGTTTGATTTCGCTACAGTCAAAAGCATAAAAAATATACTTTTACTTATTTACTATAAAATTGAACACCTATTTACATGCTAATAATTTGAATATGGCCAAACTCATAATAAAATGAGTTATTTATGCACTCTAAAAAATGAAGTGTTGAATTTACTTGGTTAAGTAAACCGAGTTGAGTAAATGTAAAGCAATTGACTCAACTCAGTTTAGTGGAACCAGTTTGGTTAAACAAATTTAACACTTCATTTCTTGTGCGTAAAATTACTTTTTCTTAAGTACTTTTCTTATCAGCAAAATTCATTTTTACCAGTCATTTTCTATTAAGGTATTTTTTTTACTTTAACTTAGTTATTTCTTTAAACCCTCCTGTTGTCTTCATATTCTGCATCCACCCCTTGCCCTCCGGGTCATAATGACCCTGGCTTCCACTAAAACCCCAATATGAATTGCTTAATTGAATTTTAATTCTAAAAAATCCTATTTTTGCCTGAAAGAACAACTTGTCATTCACCATAAACTGAGTGAACGCCTGAATTTTCCCTTTTCACATGTCAGAAAGACTGAATCAGGAGGTACCGCTCGTTTCTACGACACCGTCTATTGAATTTTTTGCATAGGGAGCTATTTTGTGTAGGGGGTGAGCAATATGGTAAATGGACTGTACTTACATTGTGCTTTTCTATCCAAGCAAGATGCTCAAAGTGCTTTACATTACAATCTGTGCCCTCATTTACCCATTCACACACTCATTCATTCAGCACATCACTAGACCKCTCTACAAAACTAATACAGATAAATTGTTTAATAGAGACTAACCAGTGCTTTAAATCACATTCACTGATGGGACACATAGATGCACTGGGTGTTCAGTGTCTTGCCCAGAGACACTTCGAAACGTGACTGAATAGCAGGGAATCAAACCACCAACTCTCTGATTAGAGGATGACTCACTCAGCCTTTTATGTATTCCTTYCCCTTCTTCTGATACCTCCTCCTCCTCTTCTGAATCAAGAGTTGTCTTTCTGGTCATTTGAAAAAACAAAATTTCTAGAACCTGTTCAGCAGTGAAACACAGAGAGGATTCGGGGTGCTGTCATCTGTAGAACCTTTATAAGCTCTGAGCAGCCTCAAAGACCAGTAATGCATTTCGATCACGAGAACCTGTACATTCTCACACTGCTTTTCTGCTCTCTGTGGGATGGCAAAATGGCACTGCTATTACATTTGAGTCATGGTATGTTCCTGCATTTCTAGACACCTTTACAGTGCCACCCCCCCCCCCCCCCCCCGGCTACCAAATCCATGCAGTGTACAGGTAGTGCATTCTGCTGGAGAAGACCACATCTTGTCATGTTTTTGTCTGCTACTGAAGCGTTTTCACATCTTCATGGTGTGTCATTGACTCTGTGACTGTGATTTCAAAGCAAAATGACTGTCAGGTCAAAATGACCCAAAGAAAATATTTGTAACTTTTTTGTACAAAAAAAATAAATAAATAAAATTAATTAATTTTTAAAAAGTGCAAAGTGATGAAAATGTCTCCGTTTAACCCGTCTAAAACTCTTGTGTTAAATTCCTGGTCACAGACAGCTTATTACAATAGGAAAAATCACCTACACGTAAAAAATTACACACATTATGCCATAGCTTAGATCTCATGAACAGTTTTTGAGGTATGCTTATGTTCCCAAAAAAAAAAAAAAAAAAAAAAACAAATAGGGAAAAAAAAAGCTTGAGGAAAAATCTGGGTAAGGGAACTTTGTCCTTAGAAAAAAGTATTTGGAATTGATGCACTTCACTTTAAGTCATGGGTGGCTAAAGGGTAATTAACACAAATGCTGACAACACCTGTGTGTAGGACTTTAGTAGCTACTATATGTATGGTGAAGTGTTTGTTCAAGATAGAGTGTAGAAAATATTAAAAAAGAATGTTATAACCAAGTTAATATAAGTTGTAAATATGGATGATTCTATAGATGTAAGAGGGGTGTGTGTAAAAAATAAGTTTATACTTCTGTTCCTTTGAACGTGTAAATATAATTCAGCATTGTTCTTTTTTTGTTGTTTGTTTTATATTTATTTTCTAAATTTATTATTCTTTTAAATCCATTACGTTCAATAAAGTCCAAGTAAAAAAAAGTGTAATTACACATAACTGATCACAAGAGTGATGGTGAAAATTCTGTGCTTCCTCCATGGCTAAAGATTCTCTGATGAGCTCAACTAAAAGTGGTGATTTATGGTTTCTGTCTAAACTAATGCGAGGCTTGTTTTGTTTGTTCTGTCCTGCTGGGATTCAGACTCTGCAGAATCACTCATGATTAAAATCTGATGAAACAGATAGTTCTCACTGCGAGCAGAAAGGAAGTCTCAGAGGACTTGTGTAAATACAGAAATCTAATGATCTTTCAATCTGTTATTTTCACATCACTGACCTCRGTTTCATCAAGATATAGGCTGAGAGCAACCGTGTGTTTAAAAAGAAGCATCCTAATGTGGATGCTGGCAGAAATCTACAGAGGATTGTTGATAAAGTTTTTTGCTTTCATGGCTGCTGATTAATATWCGTCATTTGATCAATGTCAGATAAAGGATTTACTTACTTGTCAAGAAAAGACGTCTCTCTCCACTCAACTTTCCAGGTCCAAGCCTCCAACAAGACCCCAAYGGAGGACTTCTTCAGATTCTGGTCGTAGAGAGGTTTGCGTCCAATGGGAGCTGCCACKGGAGTCGAGGATGGGTCAGAGCTGACCGATGTGAGGTCAGTGCTAAGGTCAAACGACGTCCATGAAGAGTCGGAGGAGGCAGAGCTGGTGTCCACCCACTCCTCTCGCCAGCCATGTCTGAGGTCCATGGTGACAGGGAGCAGACAGGAAGAACGAGACAAACCAAGGCAATGAAGAGTGCAAGTTTAAGAAAATGAGGGGTTAAAAGGTGGGCTCATCAGAGCGTGGTCCAAATTTCTTTGCCAATCAAGGTTAAGCACTGAAAAAGGTAAGAAAACTTAAAAAAATGTTGATATGAATGTTACAATCTGTAAAGCCAGTAACTAAAGGAGTGAGACGAAGAAAGACGTGGGATGGAATCATAGAAACACAAATGTAGACGGTGGTGGAGGGCAATAAAGAAAGAAATGCATTCAGGTAAAAGGTGTGGACAGCAGCACTTACAGGAGGTGATAGCTCACATCTCATTACCGTCCACTTTTGCCCACCAGAAAATTGAATTACGCGGTAAGCCGATAGTGACACCGCAGGATGGGAAATCGATTCGAGATGCACGGTGAAGCTTGAACCAGTGGCTTCTGCGGCTACATGATAGGAGGCGCCGTCTYGGGTTGCACTGATGTTCAGTTCATTACAAGGAGTCTCATCCAGTCAAAATGAAATTAAGGCTCACCACTAAAACCCATTAGGACCCTGATATGGGAAGAGCACACTAGCTGGTTTCCCACAGGTGCAGTTGCACAGTAAAGGCACTCCTCAAATATAAAGGAAGAGCTGAACAATAATTTAATCTGCATAAAAGACAAGATACTTTGTGCTGACCTTTAAACCACATTCACTTGTGCAGCTTTTTAGTGAACTGTGACAGAGTCAAGGAAAGGCAATAAAGTGTGTGGCACACATCTCCTAAAGGGAAGCCAAAAAGATGGAACATTTCACTTAAAACACAACCCAATGACTTAAACCAGGGGTGCCCAAACATTTTCCCTAAGAGGGCCAAAATTAAAATCCATCTGAGGGCCGCGGGCCAAACGTRATAATATAAGAAATGCAAATACTTAAGTTGTTTTATTTTTATCATTAAGCTAGCAGCCGGTGTGGTTGCCCATATTCTTTAGTTTTTTTTTCAGCCCATGGACATGGAGAAAATTCAACGTATGCTCAGGCAGCAAAGGCTCATGGGACTTTTCATATTTTTAAATTTGAGTATATATGGTCTTATAAAGGTGTGAAAATCTACATGWGGGCTTAAATCKAATCTAAATGTCTCTTGTGGTTACTTSTATTTTATATTTAATCTTAACATAATTACAACCTAGTAAMCAGGACAATTGTTRGTGGGCCAAACCAAATRGCTCAGCGGGCCAAAATTGGCCCRCGGGCCCCACTTTGGGCACCTCTGACTTTAACTGTACAACAGGTGTTTTAATGAGCTGAAGTCTGGAGAGATACTGTACAGCTGAAAATGCTCTTCTGAAAGCTCCAATTTAGTAACAATTTGCATCCTCCAAAACAGCAGACAAATAACCAGGTTCACCACAAAGACCTTTATAGTAGAAAAAATGAGTAACATTTTGGAGTATATGTTTGTGACAAAAAAAGACAAGTTTAGAAAAGCTACTTTTATTTTAACAAATGGGGCCAAAATGCAGCAGAAATGGCTGAAAAGAATAACAACACACAAGAGCGTGTACAACAAAGTATGAGGTACTGTTGGAGTAGATTTTGAAAAACAAAAGTTACATGGACTGATATTTACATTTTCACAGGATAATCCGATCATGTTGTTACATCCCAAGATGACAAGTCTCTACATATATTTCTTTGAATTTATTATCCCACATAAAATGTAAACCAGATGTTTTTAATAMATCTTTAAAAGTTGCCTCAGAATCATATATAACTATCACATGAACCCATCGCAGCTCACCAGGAAGGTATTTATTAGAAAGCATAAAAAGCAAGAAAATAAAACGGCACACATTCAGAAGATTTTTTTTACATCTCTGGAGAAAATCAGGAAGGGAAATGGCAACAATAATATGCATGAGAGGTGCGAAAAGTCAAAGCCTCCAAACAGGCATAACGTGTCCTCCAGAGGATCTGAAACTACTTAATTAGGAAGGAAGAAAAAAAGCACAGGGATTTTTCCTGAGTCCACTTTTTTGTTCTTTACTCCAAAACTGTAGCTCCTAAGGAAAGCAAGGTCAGAGCAGTCTGATCCTATAACACAAACATGCAAGAACAGTAAGGGTTGGCCCAACCTGTATCCTCCAGAATTTACTGCTGAGAAGAAAAAACAAAACAAAAAACACAAGTCAGCAATCAAAATGTATTGGGAGTGGGACACTAAAGCAAAGCAGTTCTGCCTCACATGCAGGACGGGGAACATAAGAGGGTTGTTAGCAGAAGCAAAAGCAACACAGTGAAGAAGAAAACAGCGCTTCGATTCAAAGGAAAGGTGGGTTTTAATCCTCTGATAACTGGCCAGAAAAGGCTGAAGGGGTTTGAGTGATGGAACATGTTGAGAAAGAAAGCAAAGTGYCCGTGTCTCCTTCAATAAACCGGCCTTGGTTGTTTCATGCTATAGTGGGCTTCTGATGCAGACACGTATGCAGACTCTGGGAAAAAGTCCTCATGAAACTCAGCCAGAAACCTGGGGAAAAAAGAAGGGTCAGAGAAGGGAAGAACAAGAAAAGGSCTTATGATTAATATTCAACACAAATACAGAAAACTTACAAAACCAACAGAAGAACCTTACATACTGTATTTTGTTTACGTGCCATCAAAACAGACCAGCTTTGTGTAAAAATGGAAATATTTATTGTTTCAGCCTTGCACCCACATACAGAGCRTTTTAGGAGCCCGAAGTAGTAATATTGATACCAGACTCCAGAGTAAACCATATTGAAACGCTACGCCTTGGTATTTCTTGTACACAAAACTCAACCTTTTGAAAACAATGATGTCATAGTACTACCTCTTTCATGACTATCAAAAGAAAGTTACAATGCATTTACATGCTTGTGTTTGTGGTGTCATTTCCTCAACAGGAAAACCTTATGCTGTGTTGCTTCCATGAGGAAAAATTGCTGTGAGCTAGGGCTGCAACGATTAATCGATTAATTGATTAATCGACATCTAATCGATTAAAATAACCAATGATTAATTTAATAATCGATTAATCGTTTTCTTTTTTTTTTGTTCTTTACTTTGTTTTTCTCTCCAAACTGCTTTGACACCTTCCACTGCCACATCTGCCTTTCTGTCCTTGACACACATGCACAGTAGTGGTAACTGGGGTAGGCCGTGGACGTCACAAGACATTATACAGACAGGCTCTGGTATCATGGCTACCCAGCAACGGAGCTCAAAAGTGTGTGATTTTTTTTAAGAAAATGAAAGAGAAACCTGTGCAATATCTGCAGAGCAGAACTTGCCTTCCACAGCAATTGTTTTCAGTTAGCATATACGTAGCTAAAATCTAACCATGGTTATATAATAGCAGCTGCATTCTGGTACGATAAGCTCTATGTTTTATATTCAATTAACGTATGATCTGATTAGTTGACTAATCGAAAAAAATAATAGGCGATTAATCGATTATAAAGATAATTGTTTGTGGCAGCCCTAGTACAGAGACATTCTTGATAAAAATCTGCTTCCATCTACCAGGATGATGAAGATGAAACGTGGCTGGACATTTCAGCAAGACAATGAGCCCAAACACAAAGCCAAGGAAACTCTCAGTTGGTTTCAGAGAAAGAAACTAAAGCTGCTGGAATGGCCCAGCCAATCACCTGACCTGAATCCAACAGAAAATCTATGGAAAGAACTAAAGATCAGAGTTCATAGAAGAGGTCCATGAAACCTTCAAGATTTGAAAACTGTTTGTGTGGAAGAATGGGCCAAAATCACACCTGAGCAATGCATGCCACTAGTTTCTCCATACAGGAGGCATCTTGAAGCTGTCATTGACAACAAAGACTTTTGTACAAAGTATTAGATACATTTCAGTAAGTGTGTTCAATACTTTTTCCCTGTGCCATTCCACATTATTACAAATAACTTCATTTCTGGACATTTATGGTTTGATTTCTTTGTATGTATGGATCACTTGGGTTGTTACCAACATCTGGTGAAAATTTCATGTCATTAGCACCTCTAGTAATATATTTACTGAGAAAAATGGTGACGTGTTCAATACTTATTTTATCCGCTATATGATGTGCTTCTGTTTTTTTTTAAATCAGGAGATTATAAACAAAATCCTTCATGTTATGAAAAGACCCTCTTGGTTAGTCAATCTATAAGATAAATCAACTTCAGATTAATTAATTAATCAATAACTTGCATCCTTAATTCATACAGGAATGAAATTAATTAGTATCTACTCATATTTATGTCATCAAGCATTTTAATTATTTGGCCGATTAATTGATTAGTCGAAAAAAATAATCGACAGATTAATCGATTACTAAAATAATCGTTAGTTGCAGCCCTACTGTGAGCGATACATAATAAAAAGCAAACGTCTCAGAAAATATCTACAATTCACATCAAGACATGGGAAGAGTTTACAGGTTACATGAAAAAATAAACACTTGTTTGCAGACAGAATGATGTGCTTGTTGCATCAGCTGTAGTTTCTATGGGGGGGTTTAAAATGGGGCACGTGTTGTGATTGTGGTGTGCACAGAAAAGGAGGTGGTCTTTTAAATCTTGTTATGATTCTATGTCTAGCAACACTGACTGTGATATCAGCTATTAGACTTGGCTTTCAACAAGACGCGTGTCGCTACAACCAGGCCCTGAATTGCTAATGTAAGGGCAGTGTTTTGGCTTGTTTTAGGCAAGTCCGTGTGGATGAAATTTCTAGAAACGAAGCCGTGTTTTCAAGGATTTTCAGTGGAGGCAGTCGAGAAATCTGAATTGCTTTTGGCTGATAAGAAATGCATGCCCCTACTGTTAGCTAAACTGTTTTTTGCATGCTACTAGTGCTGGGCGGTATGACCAAAATGTTATATCACWGTATTTTTAACAATTATCCGTATCACGATATTATTGGACAGTATTTTCCTTTTCCATCACAGCTCAGGCTGATGGTAAAATGTGGAAATGCTGCTTATCAATCATCAAACTGTGGTCAGTGGAAGTTACTCTCTTTCTGCAACACAGAAACTACTTCTTGACTTTTTCTTTTATTGTACCTCTATCAAGGTTATAATAGTTTTGGATTTTTCACTATAGTTTAGTTTTTTTCGTTTTGACTTATTTTTTCTTTTAATTCAGTTAGTTTTTATTAGTTTTTAGAGTGGATTTGCTAGTTTTCTTTTTTTTAGTTTTTATTGTTTGTTTAATGCTTAGTTTTAGCTTTTCTTAGTTTTTATTAGTTCTAGTATTAGTTTTTATAGTTTAAAAAAATCGCATTTGCCAATGCATCCTCCTGCTTGTGGTGTTTCTGAGTTAACTAACCAGCAGCCACTAGGAATGAGTAGCCAGAAGGAATAAGTTTACTATCATGGGGGGAACATAAGGTACCGGAAACCTGACAGATTTGTACATAGTCTGAGCAGAAATGTGTCATAAATCAACTACACTGCAAAGCATTCACAAAATGCTACTGGATCTTTTCTTGGAAAATTGGTGATGTGGGTAAACCACCCAATAAAATATTTTGAGTCTAATAGGGTTGCGGTACACTCTTGAACGAAAAGGTGGCTCATTTTAAACTAAACAAGAAAMAAAATTTACGTACTGATCACAATAGAGAATCATTTCACCAAATAAATGGACCGAACTCTAGTGGGGAGTTGTTCAGCAGCTGACAACCTAATCACAACCTAACTCATATCCTTCTAACTGTGGAAATAATGAAAACAAATCCACCTGACATCAGTCCTCACCTGTTCTTTCTGCATCTATTATAATTAATTTGGTTTTTAAACCTGACCTCACACCCTGAAGCTCCACCTGTTCTCCTCTCTCTTCAAAGAATCAGTTCTTCTTATGATTAAAAAATATGTTTAAAAAGCATSAAGCAGCTAATACATATTTCACTAAACTAATTTCAGACCTCACCTGAACTTCCTCCATYGCTCCACCTTTTATTGSTTCAAATGTCTCACTACTCTGTATACTACCATAATTCTCCTTGTAAGACATTATTGCACATAATATCTARTATAATGCCATGCATATAAACTATGATCAGGTGTTGCTCTTGTGTGTTATTCATCAGTTTACTCTGAAAAAAAAAAAAAAAAAAACCGACAACAAATAAGCCCTGCTGCTGCTGTTTCAGTCTTTCACCCATCCATTATGGCAACACTTTCCTAAAAATAATCAAGTAACTCAATTTTGCCAACAAAGGACTGGGGTGATTAATTTATGAAGGTGACGATGCTACCTGGTTGGGCTGCTGAGAGCTGCTTATCAAAATACTCACAGTTAGATGTAGGTGAGCTTGATTGCATTTTTTCTGCTTGGGAYGTATTCCACCCATTTTTTCGCTTATTTCCACAAGACACCTGCTTTTATTTTTCTCACAGTCATGTTAGAAKAAATCCCAAATTTGACTTTGGCGCTTTCTCTCAACTTTTGTTGTCGTCACGTTGTCGACATGCGCTGAGCAGCAGCAGATTGTTAACAAATGGGCCATGAGGTGCCGTAAACTGCCCGCAGCTGAAACTGCTCCATGAAAAAATAAATAAATAATTGTTTAATCAGTCCACACGGATTAAATTAAATTGACATAAACCAAAACAAAGGATATTCTGTCAATAATTTTAGTTTTAGTTAAGTTTTGTAAAAAGATTATACAGTTTCAGTTAGTTATTATTTTCTTCTTTTTGTTTTAGTTTTTAATTTATTTCAGTTAASTAAAATGTTTTTTAAATTTTAGTTTGTTTTTTTGTTGTTAGTTTTAGTTAACTATAATAACCCTGACTAATCTGTGTTGTGTTTTCCCTCCTCTGTCTTTTCTTCCTTCCCTGATTCCATTTACACTTTTGTTATTTCTATTTACACTGTTGTCATTTCCATTTTAACTTATAGACGCTAAAGAATGTTCATTGTTGTCTGCGCTCATCTGGTTCTCCAGAGTTTTTATACTTATTTCTTCCTTGTGTGCTCAAATATTTCTTCCTTTATACTTTATGTCTAATGCTTACTTGAACGGCTGCAGCTGTAATAATTGCAATGTCCCCCCGGGGATCATTAAAGTATTCTGATTTTGATTCTGATTGTAGACATTAGTCTCAGTGGTGCTGCATGGAAAAGTGTCCCCCATGAAAGAGATTACTGCCAGGTTTGATGTAACATTTCAAACACGATCAGCCTATTTAAACCAGGACGTCATTATTCAGAAAACTCATATCATAACAAAAATTACAAACTGTTTTCAGTGCCAACCGCCCAGCTCTACATGCTACCATTTCAGTGTTTACCTTATTGTGTAACTGTATGGAGACAGGCAAAAGTTAAACTAGTGACATTTTTATATTTACAAGCTTGAAAAACAATGATTTAAAAACGAATAAAAAAGGCACCGCAGTCTGAAAAAGCACAAGTTGTACAGTTTTGATGGCTTTGTTAGTTTTCTTATGTTAAACTTTTTTAAATGCATGAATAACCTCACCCAGACTTTACTTTGTCCATATGTCAGAAAGTAAATCAAAACACCAACAATAACACAACTAGAGGATCAGCAAATGGCTTCTGTATACATTTCATATTGAAAGCCTCCCACTTCCATTTATCCCTTTACTACCAGCAGAAAACCAATCTGTATCAGACAGGATGTGAGAGTTACTGACCAACAGTCAGCCGGAGGAAAAGTGAAAACCTCCCTCCTACCACCACCACCTCCTCCTATCTAATCAGTAGCGAGGCAAACTAATCCTGAATCTTCTTAGTATCCGCTACTCGGCCAAATCCTCTAAATCTTGCCATCTCATCTTAGCTCCACCAACCTTCCTAATCTCAATGCAGACAAATTATCGCCATCAGAGGGAAATTTATGAAGGCTTTGAGCGAGTGTGATCAGGACGACATGAAGGGGCGCTAATGATAAAGAAGGTGAGAGGGATTCTTCAACACGAGTGTCAGCAAGCATTTAAGTATAAATGTATATATTTTTTGTTCATATATTTGGTGCAGTTTGAAGAATTTGTGTCAGAAAGCAACGCCATAAATCTGCATARCATGTAGACCAACACACTTAATCACAGTTATTCTTGCAGAGAAATGTGGTGTGGGGAGGGAGAAGAGAGAGAGAGATCAACCGCAGCCAAATCCCTCAATGCGCTGCACGTCAAGTCTCTGCGACATCAATCAGTTTCTGCCCGCTCGGCACAATCTGCCCGGAGGCTGATTACAGAGGGAAAACACAAAGTCTTTCCCAAAAGACTCCGGTGTTTTAAAGTTTGTGGCCGGCATCCTGCTGAGCCACTAACACAGTGAGCATATTAATTAGGTCTTTTAAAAAAATGTACTGAACACATCAATCCCGTTTAGGCAACTTATAGTCAATCTGCTTTTAATTATTCGCTTATTTCAAACACTTTACAGCTTAGCTGAACAGCGAACAAAAAAGTACCACCCCAGTCATCAGCAGGTCATTTCCACTGAAGTGATTTAAAAAGCTTTTTGCCTTYCAACCTCGTCGCCGATGACATTGCCTGATGTGCTTTAAGGAACTGCTGAAGCTTCAGGTATTTTATTTGCAAATCTGCAACTGTTTGTACACCGTAAAGACTAAATAAATAAATAGATAAATAAATAAGGAAAAATGTAATCTTCAGATGGAGCTGCACAACACTATTTTCCAAAAACCACCTCAAATTTGAGACTTTTTGTATTTATATACATTTTTGAACCCTCAGCCATTGTCAGCTGCTGCTCTACAGCACCCCCTGCTGGCTGGAGGAGGTACAGTTTGGGTTTGATTAGAGAATGAAAGAACCTAAATCCCTGAAGATCGCCAGGGAGGATTTAAAGATTAGACTCCGGCGCTTGTGTAACGCCCACTCATCTCCTGCCCTCTAACACGTCGCTTCATCTTCCCATCATATCTGCATTTACTCAGTTGTCTCCTCTTCAACATTTAGTCTTATTTTGACGCACAGCTCTCATTCCGAGGAATCCTAATGCCTCGCCTCTGGCTTAATATAAATAATTGATCTGTCTTAAGAGTTTGCCGATTTCTTCCAGGTTGTGCACTTCTGTCCTTGTGAAATGGAGACTTCCTGCATCTCGACACTTACTTAGCTGGGTCAGACCTTGGTTAATGAACTGTGCTGCTTATTAGCTACGTGCATTTTCAGTCCATGCCTTGTATTGAATTTCCTTTCAAGCTGGGGCTAAAGCATACTATTGTAATAACTTATTTTACTTTCTAAAACTTGATTTCACTCAGTTTTGATTCACCTGAAAGAATACCTCCCTCCAAAGAAGAAATTTCAATTTTATGGTTGAGTATTAGTGAGGAGAGAACAAGCCTTCGGGTAAAAACACACTTAAAGACAGTTACTTTTTTCCTTTTTACACCATAAAAACCTTAAAATTAGTATCTTGTTCACCAATTTTTTAATTACATCATCTCTGTCTAACAACTGAGACGGACCTTTTATGTCTGGAACAGTTAYTACCTGAGAAAGAGTTCCAGATGTTTGATCAGGGCTCGAAGATTCCTCTCAGGGAGTAGCATTTTTCCCAGAATCTCAGGAAGCTTCACTAAAAAAGGAGAGGAAGTGGTTTTGTCAGAGTTTTATGCCCGACAGAAGGGACAGGACAGCTGGAGGTGAGATTACAGACAGGTGTATGTGACTGGAATGACAAGAACCAACCAAAAAGCCGCAGCAGGTGCTGTGATCCGTACAGGTAAGAAGGCGGGGGTGGCTGGTCGTTCAGAGGGTAGTTATCAGGAGTTAGCTTCCAGCTCAGAACCTGGTTAAACAAACAAACAAACAAACAAAAAAACAGATTCATTCAAAGCCTTGAAGGAATGCTAAGTCTACTTAGCCTTGGTGGACATCTTGTATGAGGTGGTCTACAACAGATAATCCGTTATAAATGACAATTAATATTTTCTGAACGTTTCACTGAAAACTGTCCGGCAGTTATTATTTGTTACCAGACTGAAAAATAAGAATATATATGTATTAGCTCAGCGCTACACAATTTCCTCTTGTCACTGAGGTCCTCCATCCACATGACAGAGAGGGGAACGCAAAAATGACTCAGCTGCAACTGAAAATATGGATGGAGGACCTCAGTTTAGCTTGTTTGTTGTGCTAGCGTCGAGCTAATACATATAAGAAAATATAGCGTCGGCGCTAGCGCAAAGGCTAATTCAATTCAATTCAATTCAAAAATACTTTATTGATCCCAGAGGAAATTAACAGGCTAAGCTGAGGTTCTTCTTCCATGAAGCAGCTCTGTTGTCCTCCATCTATATTTTCAGTTACAGGCTGAGTCATTTCTACCTTCTCCTCTCTGTCAACGCTCTCTGGTTTCATTTAAAAGAGTCGATCATCAGATATTGTCCAAGATTAGCCTTCAGGGTGGATATAGCTCACTAGCAGCCTCGCACCGAGGACCTATCCACGTCATCATTTACCCAGAATGCTTTGTGTGTAAATAAAATGGCTCCGTCCGTGTTAAAATATAGTTTTAAAAATTTACAAAACTTAAAACAGCCTACAGTATTTTTATAGTCTTTATTTTACAATTAAAATATATGTTTATCAAATAAAATCTAAAGTTACAACTAATCAGGGATCCATTTTAAACTATGCATTTTCCAGCCATTTGAAGTGAACTGTTCTAAACTCACCCCCACTGTTGTGGTAAGCCTGTGAAAAAACATGATGAAGAAACCCCTCATTTGGTCAACCACAACCGAGATATCATGACTGTGATTGGCCAACATTCCACTAAAAGATCTTCTATTGTGAAGACAACCACCTTGATTCTRAAAAGATTCCATGAGTAATTGTACTATATCACATACCTCTGAACCCTCGAGAAAAAATAAAATAAAATAAAAACTCCGGATCTAGATAACGTAAGTAAATGATCTATGTTGTTTAGAATTTCACTGAAAAAGGCAAGTAACTAGGCATGTAGACACCATAATATTCCAAACATAAGCGACGTCGTCACTCTTGGCACCATCACCTCATTGAGCTCGTTGTTCCTCCGGCTCTCCAAGCCGTAGAAGGGCCCACTTCTCTCTTTGTTCGGAGTCAGAGGTAACGGTGAAGATGAGCCACTGTGGACTGGAGTTTCTGGGTATGAAGAGAATAAGGAGAGGACATAAGTGAATATGAAGTTAAACCACAACTGCTGTTTCCACATATCTAACAAAAAAAAAAACAAAAAAAAAAACAACTTGTATGCAACTTAACAGAGGGGGGAAAGTGAAAAGGAAGTCCAACTACACCATCTACTGGCCACAAACTGCTACTACAAGCAACTACATTATTAGATAACCAGGGAAGTGGCATAATAACCAAATTAAAGTAACAAATTTTAATAAAGATTGATTATTTTTGTCCCAACAGAATAGAAGTGAATCATAATATGAGCCACCTACTGTTTGAAAATATAACATTTTAAATCTTGTTTTAGACATAAAACGTAAACTTACTTCGATCGAGGTTGAGGAAGAATTTGGGCTGTGATGAAGTGTCGACCGAACGCCGTTTGAGCTGTGGTGATGCCGTGGTGCTTCCTCCACCTATCAGTTTGTTAAAAGTTAAAAGTTTGCTCACAAAACGTCACGAGACTAGAGTGTCTGAACAGCAAACTTACTCTGATGACCTCCGCTGCTTCCTTCAGCTGGCCGTTCGCTTCCTGATGTGTTCCTGGTGGAGCGTCTGAGGGACTGAGACTGGTACGAGATGCAGTCCATGTCCGGGTGGCGCCGGCGCTTTGGAGTGGGGGCCGGCGCGGTGGGCGTGGTGRCAGAGGTGTCACTCAGGGCTGGCTGGCTGTCCGTGGACTGAGGGGTGGGGGGGTTGTGGCCTGGCGGGCTYGGRCTGCGTTCTCGTTGAGTGCTTCAAYGACAAACGACARACRGAAACAGGTTACCAAACCTTTCAAATCGGACAGAGTTTGTAACGCGACACACTCACTTGCTGGAGGAGGGAGAGCCATCGTTCATGGCGAGGAAGAGTCTGGACGAGCTGACCTTTTTAAACTGAGCTTGTTCACAGGGATAGAGGAGGATCATGGGTAAGGTGAAGTCAAAGGTGATCCTCAGGCCATCCACCATTTCYTTACAAAGCTCCTCACTGAAAACAAAGCAAGAACAAATACAGATAAAACAGCAGGATACGCAACAGTGACCCATAATRTGAGCAGCACTCATGAGAACATGGACAAAATTAACAAAATGATTTGGACTGACCAAACAGATTTTTCACAGGCAAAACATGAATACTTTGCAGAATAAGCAGTCCTTTGAGATATTACAATTRAGCTCAATCATAACGTTGAAGAAATTGTTGGTGTTTAGGTTTATATAACTGATTTAAATTACATACACATGGTATAGTTTTGTGATAGAACTGTAATGATTGTTAAATGTGACTGTTTTGCTTAACTTGATGATTTTTATATTAATAGATACATGCCTGGAAACAAATTCAACACATAAGAGAACTTTTAAGTCCTCATTAGGGTAGGTTTTCATGTCTGTGGGCATGGCTTCTAGTGAGGACCAAYAGGGACTCCCCCCACTGATGATGTAATCAAACAGGCAGAGCCATGCCCTGAAGCTTTTGTTAAAACTGAATGGACTTCCTCAWTTCRGTTTGAACTAGAGCTGGGATCAAAGGCTCTTTGAAGCGATCCGGATCTTGGGGAGCCGTTGGTTTCATAGAGCCGTTCAAAAGAGCTGTTCGATTTTGAACGTATTAYGTGATCACGTAGGGAARTACGTCACGTAGCCGTACGTAATGACGTAATTCCGTCACGTGGGTGGAACCATTTGTTTGTCAAGCAGAACCCCCCCTCCCCCTTTCACYGTGTGCTTCTGTACTCCACAACTCTGCCTGTTTTCCATGAAAAAGCAAAGCGGGAGCAATTTAAATATGAAAAAATAAAGGTATATGAGGAATAAACTAAATTAAACTACAAAGGGCTCGTTACTGCCCGCGATTCGGCTCCTATCGTTAGTTGTAAAGAGCCGTTCAAAAGATTCGGATCGTTTGCGAACGTCACAGCTCTAGTTTGAACTCTTGGTGGCTCATTAAAAACCAGCCTTCAGCAAGAGCGCTCTTGGTTTTGTATGGTTACTCTTTAATAATTCTTTCCATGCATTTGCACATTCTCAGTATGGTTAAGCACACATCCTGGTAACGAACACGCAAAACTATATTTTCCTTTCAACGTGATAATAATATTAAGCAGCCCGAGTTTCAATATAAGTTTGATCCCAATGCCTGCATCCTCGCTGTGAAGACTCACCTCTTCTCTGGAGGGATCGGCTGTGGACTGCCGCTCTGCGWGGCGTTCTGCTGCCGCCTGTACCTGTCGTTGGCCATGAAGGCTTTGTTCAGAGCGAAGTGTTTGACGTAGGACTCGAGGATGTGCACCACGTTTGTCTGACAGGGAACCATGACGAGCTTGAAGAGGAAAAACATGGTGGATGCAAACAGCTGTCGGACTTTATGACCAAGATTCAGTGGCTGTGTCTCAACTCAAGGGTCGCAACAAACGTAGGCCGTCCCAATTCGTAGGTGCCTACACATGCAGCCGACGAAACCCCGAAAACGTAAGCTCTGAGTAGCGCACGTGGTTAATGGTATCCCAGGATTCATTGCGCCGTCAGCAAACTAAACAGAAAAAAAAAACAAGACGGCGGAGTTTGGAAATTTATCACCGACTGAAGAATTTGATTTTAAATCAAAAAGAAAAAACAAATAGGTCCTCTGGATGGGTTCTTCTTCAGTGAAACKTTTCGTCTCGATTGATTTTAAATGCATGTTTAGCTGATGAAATGTACAATTACAGATGCTGGAACTAAACCCAAATTATTATTGTTTTTTTCAACCCCTGAAATGAGACGCAGCCAATATTACAAAGACCAATTCGCAATAGCATCAAGCAAAACCTTTTAACTTGAGCTTCTGAAAGCTTAAAATGGAATACATAGTGAAACTAAGTATTCTTTAAGACCACAGAAATGTAACATCTGAATGAAAGAGAATTTTGTCTCATTTACTGTCAGAATTAGCCTGGTAAAAACCAGCCCCTTGCTCGTTGCTCTGTTTCAAACAGAGGGTCTGGACTTTCATCGCCAACGTTTGGCCGTAACGCAGGTAGTGCGTCAGCTCGACTGTGATGGAAGATATGCTAAGAAGCTAACCGCAAATTGCGTGTGCTCTAAACAACCATCCCCTACTGGGAAGAGAGAGGTACYGAGCCGAACGAGTTGGCTGTAAATGAGAGCTACAGGCTTTGTGAGACAAATTCTATTTAATTTGGAAGACTTGTCAACACAGACTGAATGACTACATTCACTTCCTCTGCTGCCATTGCTAAACTACAGGCAGACTAAAACGGCTCAGAAAATTGACGTAATCGTTCACATCTCCTCCTTCTGTTCGCTGACTGGTCCGGTTGAAATTCTACCGGAGAAATCCTTGACAATGGGAGAAAGCCCAGACGGAGCAGAGAAGAGGAATTAGAACTGAGCAGAGCTGCGTAGGAAGGCAATGGTCAGGCTAAGTCAAAACAGGATTCAACGCATTAAACAAAACAAATAAAAAGTTAAAAAAAAAAAAAAAACTTCTAGTATTTACACATCCCAACACAGACTGATTCTATCTGCTGAGCACCTTTTTTCTCTTGTTGATGTAAAAACAGTCATCTTCCAGTTTCTTCTTCAGGACATCAGGGATGTTGATGTCAACATGAACAATCTTCTCCTCACACTCTCTCTTCATGTTCGTGTCTGGCTCAACCCTCTGAAATACAGAAACACGGATGTCTTGAAAAACTCAAAAAACGGTGATCGATACTTTCTATTAACTCACATTTACATAAAAACGTGTTTCTTTAAAACTATTCGACATCCACAAACAAATCTTCCTGATTAATTAGGCTAATAACACTGAGGACATGAAAACTCTCAAAGCCATTAACTTGGAAGTGACGTCAACTGGACTGACGTCCACACGTTACCATTTTGTTGATGTCCTCGGAGAATGTGCTKTCGCCACTGTTTGAAGAATCGGGGTCAGAGTCGTCCCCTTCACTGCTCTCTGAAGTTGAAATCAAACCTAGAGACAAAAAAAAACATGCGAGGACTTGGAGTGATTGCTGAGGGAGGTTGGGAGCTGAAGATTAGGGCACAGRCAGATTTCTCACAAGCGTCATCACTGTCGTCTTCCTTTGGGAGTGTCTTCAGAGAAGATTTAGAACCGGACTGACGACGACGCCTCTTCGTCCATCCTTTTTTCTTCCTATCACAAAGGAAGAAAAAAAAGGCACTATTTCTGCCAGTCTACTAAAACACATTGAAAGTCAGATGATATCAGTGTTTAAATGACGGAAATYTTAAACTGTTTAAGCTCTGCACTGGATTTCAAGTTAAAAGAAGAAAATCACATTTATGAGCCCGTGTAGAATTCTTTTAACCTTCTGTAAGAACAGTAAGACCCTGAACTTACATGCGACCCAGCGCTTTGCGAGCCAGTTTACGTTGCAATTTACGGTTTTCCTCYGTGTCCCTTAGGACATGATCCTCTGCAGCCCAGCGATCCCAGCTACACAAACAAATGTCAGCAGTTCATTACAACAACCTCTGAGCACAACAACATCAGCTGGACACTTCAAACACACAGTATTGCTGTTGTTACCTTCTGCTCCAGCCGTTGAAATGAATCAGGTACTTTGGTACTCGCCTTCCATGTTCATCTGTACCTATCAAGACATCAAGAACCTGCAAGGTGACGACAATAGGAAGTGCATTTATGTGATTTTGTTTGCTTTTCAGAAAGTCCTGAATTTTTTTATTTTTTATCTCAAGGACCTGTTAGGCTTAARGCAGAAGGGGCTGGATGAACTTTGGAAACAAACAAGGAACTCGAATTTTGATACGACAAGCGGGATTAATTTGTCATTTTGTGTCCCCAGAGCTAAATTWAAAAAAAAAAAAAGTGAAGGTTCACATCTGATATTAGRGATGCACAGATATAAAAGTTTCAATCGATATATCGATATGAATATYGCTGTTAGGGCCGGTAGCCTATATTTTCCGATATTACACAAAAACAAATTATAAATGCACTAGAAAACTTGTGTATTTTTTCGATACCGTAAAAAACAACCAGACCACTGACATGGCTCACTGCTTCAGTTATTCCTGACTGTGCAGCGTCACTATCACTATCGTGATCAAACAGACACAGTTCGGCCAACCATCTCCCCTCCAAAAACAGAAACACWAAYGACAACAAGCGGGAAATAAATATCAGACATTAATATATRGGCTAAAAAGGACTAGCATCAGCCCACACCAACGTTAATGCCAATAAATCGTACAGATATTTTAGTACCCCATACTCAGACATAGTGGTACCCATTTCATACTCACATGCTTACCATTGTGTACCAGTGTGTGTGTAATTGTCTAGGCCCAGGGCTTAGTAACAGTCAGGGTTAGAGTGAGAGATCAAAGGTAAAAATTAGATGTTAGGACCAAATCTGAGGTTAAAATTAGGGATTAAATTGGCAGGGTTAATGATTCCAAAACCCATCCACGAACTAAAGATCATATTAAAATGATCTTTAGGTAGATTAAATCATTAAGGTTGGTGCAATGGATACAAAAAGACCTGCAGACAATTCGTCCATAAAAGCAGGGGTATACAGTAACCAAAAGTACAAACTAATTTGCAGTTTAAACAAGAAAAAGCAACACTTATTTGCTTCAGATAAAACAGCTAAGCTATACAGTGTTATGATTATTTTCTCAAATATTAAATATCTGACAACGAGGGATTAAGTCTACRTTGTCTAGGAATCTTGCAACATAGGGTAGGTGCTAATGTAATGAAAATATAGAAAACAAACATAATTCAACCTGCAAACATTTGCAGGAGAGTGATTCTAACCAACATTAACGATGCTACATTACGGTGTATGTTGTCATGTATTTGTTATGGTTAGAGAGTGACAAAGTTGGTCTTTAAACGCTAGTCTGTTTGCAAAACATCGTCCTGAAACCATGCACACAAAATGTGTGCATTTTATTTCCTAACACAAATGCAGTGTTTTATTAGCAATTAAAACCAAAGAGGCGTTGTGTGAGGGTTAGCATCGTTAGCACTGAATGTTTAYCAGCTCACATTAATCGACAGAAACTGCTCTAATAAATCAATGTATTCRATGATTTTAACGACACGTTTCAAAGCCATAGATTTAGTATTAGGAGGGAGTGGTCATTAAATTGCTCCTAAGGCAATTCGCATCAYTGAAGGACTGAATAAAAAAGTGTTGTTTTGAAGTCTCCTCCTCCTCCAAACATGCATCGAACGTACCCGGAAACCATCAGTAAGGAGGCAAAAACAGACTGCTAGCGTTGCAGTTTTATGCTAAACCCTTATTTTTGTGCGGCCCAAGTGGCCTTCATGTTGCACCTCCGGTTCAACCGTGACAACGACTCGCTTTTCTGGGTAAAAAAAAAAAAGACGGCACTGTGCAAAGTTTACATACCGAAAAGGCACGTTCGGTTGGTTAAAAGGTTACCTTAGCGTCATACAAGACTTTAGCCTTGGTAGGGTCTGGTTCAAAGCACAAGACTCGTTCTCCTTTGTGAAACTGATATTTAATTCCCCGCGAATTCATTTGTTCATGGCGACGTGTGGAAGAAGAGACATCGATCGAAACCTTAAAAACTCATTAACCCTTTCCTTTCCTGTGGGGTCTCTCTCTCTCTCTCTCTCTCTGCCTGCAAAAGCACGGAAAGATGGCGCTGTTCAGGGAAATGAGAGGCGAGTGCTGGTGCGTTCAAAGGCTGCTCGAAATCTTTCGGTTTGCAAACTACGAGAATCCGAGCGACTTTCTACAGAGGGCACATCAGCATAATCATTATTATTTCACATTCATTTTTTTTTCAAATAAGCAACTATTTAGTCATRGTTCGAACTGATTTACTTTACGAACTACCACAACTTCAAAACCTATACCACGTTTGTGTATAATCATGAAGGCAGCAGAAATCCTGGCACTCTACAAAACGGGCAACATCTAAACTCTGCCACTAGAGGGCAATATTAAGCTAAATAGTAATCCATGTCTGACACAGTATCAGAATATTAAGTACTTAAAAGAAATAACTAAGTA